AAACCGTGACAGCCACTGCATAGTAAACCGTGACAGCCACTGCATAGTAAACCGTGACAGCCACTGCATAGTAAACCGTGACAGCCACTGCATAGAAAACCGTGACAGCCACTGCATAGAAAACCGTGACAGCCACTGCATAGTAAACCGTGACAGCCACTGCATAGAAAACCGTGATAGCCACTGCATAGTAAACCGTGGCAGTTGCCTATTAAAAAGAAAAACCAACAACAACATTCCGAAAACAGATTTTCTTTCAACTAAATTCTACAGATGTATAGCCAGCTTTAGCCAGGGGGCTCCATCAAAGTTTTGCTATGGGGCCTCATGGGTGATACTTATGCTCATATATTCCACTTATTTAATCAACACTGTTGTAGTTGTGTTAGAGGTACAACATTGACCAGCAGCAGTCTGTAGCTCTCCGGTACTGTCAGGAATATAGGATTGGAGAACTGCAGCATTCTGTTTTTTTTTCATTCACACTTTCCATCTGATTTCCGTGAAGTGCACAGTTCCAGCAATTACACTAACCTTTACATTAGAATTCCGTAGCTTTCTCAGCGGAGCCATCGCCCTGTTCTTTTAAGTAGACTTAAATCCAACATATTTTCTGAGACCTGTAAAGGTATTAGAGTAAAACGGTCAGCAATACAGAAGAATGCTGAAAAGTCCCTACAAAATGTCAGTGTTATTATTCATGCCAAGTAGTTATGCATTTAAATCAAACTTGATAAAGAGTTATTGACGAGAAGGAAAACTAGGTAGCCTGCAAAGGGAAAGAAAGAAATAGTACTGAGAAAAAGACACAGTTAAAGGAATTTTGCTAACCTGTATTTATGAATTTTTGTTTTTTAAGCCGTCAGTTTTTCTTAAAGGGCTTTCTGCTTTATCCGTAGATTTAGTCTTTTGTGGAAAAGTCAAGGATGCTTATCCCAAAAGAGACTTTTTCTATTTGTATTATTCCCTTTTTGTAGTGGTGGATGAGAGCATGAACTTGAACAAACACAGTGAAAAATTGGCACAATCTATGTTTTTCTAAGTTGGAACCTAATTACAAAAACTTTCAATTAAATATATTCCTCAATAACCACAAATAAGTCCACTTTGTGTGCACCAAATGGCTTTACAAACTCAGATGTTGCCTTGCAAAGGTAGCAGTGACACGATCACTGTCTTGTACATAGCCAGTGCAGGGAGCAGAGCTGTGGGAAGGACACAGCAGGCTACAGGCTAACTGCAAAAAACTATAAGACAGGGTGGATACCAGACCAGTCACAAGGAGAGAGCAGAAGTGACAGGTTTTTATGCCAGGACACTATCTGCATTAGGTCTGTATTTTCCGCCTGTGCTTGCATGGGTTTCCTGGCTGCTGTCTAAATAAGTCCTAGTATGTGTGATAGGGACATTAGATTGTAAGCTCCTTGGGGCAGGGACCGATGTAAATGTACAGTATGCAAAGGTTCTGCTTAAATTATCCATGCTATATAAATACCAATAATAAATAGAAATTGTGAAAGAAGAAATTGAACAAACTTGTAAACACGTACTGTATATACTCCATCAGTGTATGTTCAGCAGCAGGCTTAAACCACTGATCTCTGCTTTCTAGTTTTTTTTCCTCAATCAATCAGACCATTATTTAGTTCATCGGCTTTGGCATCCAGCTTGCCTCTGATTTTTCTGATTGTAGCCATCCAGAGCCAGCTGAATATGTGCTTGGAGTGTTTTTGCAGAAACACATTAAAGCCCAACTCTATCCAAGTTATTTTGTTTGTTTTGGATAGAATTGGGGTGGGGGGGGATTATTGCACTGTGTGTGTACCATTGTAGATATTGCCCTTTGTTTCCTATACAGTGACCACAAAGGAGGAGGAATTTCCCTTACAAGTATACAATTAGGGGTCTATTGATAAAAAAAATTTGCATAGCTTATTTGTTTAGTGAAACAGCATGTGCATATATGATGTGCTAGTAAACCAGCTGTTATGAACATGGGGCAACACAGATGATAGAGGGAATGATCATATAAATGTAACCACTTATACTACAGGGATAGCGATGGTTGCATTTATATGCTCATTCCCTCCAGCGGTCTCTTAAAGTGACACTAAACTCAGGTGTTAAATCTTAAAAATGCATTCAAGTATCACTCAGCTGTAGATGCCGAAATCATCTCTGAATTAGTGCTGACACTGTCCTTCCTTCTGAAGGGTGGCTACTTTTGTTCCCCATGATCACTGTGTGTGTTGTAAAGTAGCCACCGCTCCAAGATCACTCCCTGTGAAAAGACTACAATCTCACATTTAGTTTACTAATTTTGTATTGAGATTGTAGTCCTCCATCTCAGGAGCGAGCTTGGAGTGGTGGCCACTTTACAATACACACAGGGACCACAGGAAACAAAATTAGCCATCCTCCAGAAGGAAGGACACTGACAGCATGAATAACTCCTGAGTTTGGTGTCACTTTAATTTGTATCTCATTGCTAACATGTTTGTATTTCCTATGATGCTCAGCTCCATCCAGTGGTCATAATGCGGTATTTCCCCATTCATTCTGTTCTGTATAAATGAACCTATTGAAGTACATTCGACCAGAAGAGAAATCACACTAAGAATGTTTGCTTTTGCCCCATTCTCGTAACAGCTGGTTAACTCACACAGAATGAATGTACCTGCAGTTTCATTGGACGAATAAACTATGCAATTTTTTTAATACAATTTATAAATATAACCAATCTCCCAAAAGGGGACAAATTCAGCCATTAAATTTGACAAAGGTCCTTATCCTTCACTGTGCTATCAAAAACTGGAACAAAACGTCTAAGTTGTAGTCAATCTTTAAACTTGGATGTTTGTACTGTGATGAACATTTGCATCTGCCTGGTTGATAGCAGCATTGTGAACAGTAGAATATGTACAGATACCAAACATAGGCAGTAGGTTATGTTAGATGCTTTGTCCCTTCATATACAAATGCGTGCGAGTGACAATATGGTTAAAAGTAAAAAAGATATGTACATATAACAATATATAATAAAAGCTTTTACTAGCAACTTTAGTAAACAAAACTATTTTGTCTTATATTTAGTGGTGCCTTAAAGTTAGTTGCATCATTCGATTCCCCAACTTCTTTGTTATAAATGAGCACATATACGGACCGTGTAACACTGATGATCTTTTGCCTGTAGCAATTTTCCCTGCAGGACAAGCTTTTAGCCACTTTGCAATCATCAGACTTAAAAATACGGCCAGGGAATACTAGGGCACTCTAAAGTACACTGTAGCAGAATGGTTGAACGGCCGAACTTGTGTTCCAAAATCAAATCATTAACGGATATAAGGATGAACTATAGGACGTGGACTGCAAAGGCACAATTTGCACAAAAATAATGCTTAGAGGATTAAATTACCGTTCTACTTAGCACGTATATGCATTGATCCATAGTAAATAAAATATTGTATCACTTGCCCTTCCCTTCCAACATGACTGCTATGGGCCCCGGGCATGGAAGAGACAATAAAACCATTAAAAATATGTGTACATGTGAGCATAACACATATCCATCACAGTATTAAGAATTGCAGAGGTTGCTGTTAACACTGACCCTGTACCCTTGACCTTTCCAATAAAGAATATTTCACATCAGATGTACAAGAGGGGACTTCAGAATCCTTGTTGATGATCACAGATCCCCCATTACAGGCTGTGCAGTAATGAAAATGTGTTTAGCTGTCTTAGAAGTGTAGAATTATTGCCCTCTTCTGGTCATCCCGGCCAGCACTGAAATTAATCCTGTGTGCCTAAAGCAGTCTTTCTCAGAATGCAAAAAATCCCATAGTGTCCGCTCAGCTAATACCTGACTACTTATTATAGTTCTGCAAAAAAATTAAATGAATTGAAACAGTTTGTATGAGGGTTATAGAGTAATAGTGTGTGGGAGCACTAACAATTATGCCATAATATAGAATACTGTGATAGGCATTATTATTGCTACTACTGCTCTTTTGTTTTTCTTTCTGCCGACTACTAGACCAGCTCTTTCAGCACTTGCTTGCTTGTGGCAGTGGGAGGGTTGGTGTCCCCTGACAACTTATATCCCACAGCTCTAGCCCCTAGTAATGTACTATGCTGACCACTTTCTTACTACCTGTCCTTGATTTAGACATACTTTATGTTACGAACAATGACTGTTGGGAACATTACCACTGGGTGGCCATCAAAATGTGGCTATGCGGCCCCATAATCTACAGTTGCATCAATGACTGCATTACTTGGTGTTTTAGATCTGCCCAGAATTGAGCTTTAAGATCAAAATTCCTCATATGTGCACAGTGGTGCATAAGAAATGGCAGCAAAAAATAATAATGGAGTTGTCATTAGAAGACCATTAGATGTATATTTGTTACCGTTAAAAGGAAAGTTGAATTGGTTTGTACTGCTAGCACCCCATTGTTACACTGATTTTTATGAATTGGCTGTAATATGTCACCGCCGTGTCGCAATCAGATAATCAATATCTACCAGTGTGGTTCTGCATTGTGGAGATAAACTGCAGCATGTTATTGTCACAGTTCTAATAGAGGAGGGAGCCAGTTACAAAGGATTAAGTGGATGGATTATTAAGTATATATTCAGCTCAAATGTAACCTAAAGCTGTGCAAGTCACTGCACAGAATTATCATGATACTGTTTTTGCGCAGTGGTGTTATGAAATGTATTAATGCTAAGCTCTGTTTATTTTAGTGCTCAACTGCAGACGAGCCACACATTGCAAAACCAGAATCGCTGATAGAAAGTCAACACCACCACCTGCTGCACTGTCTGGAAAAGACAACTGTAAGTAGAAGCATGCCTTGCACAAGTGGTACAACGCACATATGAATTCAGCATGACGTTTTACATTATTTATTACATTAATTTTTTGGCTGCAACATATGGAGTACAGCCATAGGCCATGGCTCCCTGGTGGCTACCTTATGGCCTCATTCACACAGACATACACAGCTGTACAGTGTGCATGTCCATGCAGAAACCTGTGCCCAGGAGGAGTAGGTTCTGCGTGTAGCTGCATCCAGCCCCCTGTACAGCTCTAAGACAGGACACGGCTACAAGGCCACTTGAACTGGCACATCCATACAGATATGGATGCAAGCTGTACAGCTGCGCACGTCCATGTGAATGAAGCCTAAATGTCCACACTTTTTATATGAGCATGAATGTATATGGTGTGACTGGTAAGTGATAGAAGAATATTTCTGTAACAAGACTTCCATTGTCCAACTGGTTGGTGTTCCAGTGTCCAATCTTATGTCCTTAAATCTGCAACCCTCAGCCTCCAGTGTGAAAAAATCTCATAACAACATTAAGTTTTATAGATGTTTTTAAGCTATTTCAAATGATGAATAAACCACTTACAATGAATGCTGTTCCTTGATGTTTAACAGTTTAGTTTCCTGCTGAATCAGCTGGTCCCCTGAACACTGGCCCTTATATCCTGTTTTAGGGAGGCTACTTTCCCTTGCAGGGTCATATGGAGCCACCCTTGTGTGTGCTAGTAAGCTGTGTGTCTCCACAAACACATGCACAGCAAGGCAAGAAACTCCCCTGGCACCTCCTTCCTCCCTTCTCTAAGCTAGTGGATAACCAGCTGCTTGAGACTGTTCCTTGCGATCTTGTAATGGACAGGAAGTACAGTGAAGCTTAGTTTTTGAGAATTGGAGCCAACTGTTCTGAAACATGATGACTAAGTGCTTGGATAGAAATGTAAAGAAATAGTTTGCTGGGCTATGTGTATTTGTTTGATATGGAATCATCATTGAAAAAAGGTTTGAGAGTTTACCACTACTTTAACTTCCACTGCCAAGAACAGTCCGCTATATTCACATATATGTCTTGGAATTCTGTGATAAAGCACATATTGAAACAAATGCTGAGTACTTGGCACACATTCAGGGTTCATATATCCAGAACCAAACTACTAGAAGAGCAGGGCAAACGTTTGCTTTACTAGTCATTGCAAAATGATCAAAATTTCTCTTTCTGTCTGCCATTCTTAGCCTGCATAGTCTTGCTGTTATGTCTGGTCTTGCTAATGTAATAGAAACAATTCATTTAGGCTGGGTTCACACCTGGGCATTTTTCAGCGCTGATCGAAGCGCTGAAAAACGCTCAAGCAGTGAAATCCTATAAACTACTATGGGCATAGTTCCCACCTGGAACGCCCTACGCAAGAAATAGTAAGGAACTTCTTTGGGGCGGATTTCAGCGCATATTTATTGGTATTCCCGAATGTGGCTCGGGGTTAACAAAGCGATAACCCCGAGCCACTCTCGGGAATACAGCGTATGTCTTACCTTGTCCGTGATCCCCGCTGTGTCCTCCGGCCGCTGCCGTCTTCCGGGTTCCTTCTCTTGTGAGCGTCCGCTTCGCAGGGGGGCAGAACCGGTGGGAAGTTTAAAAGTTAAAAAGAAAAGATAGAGAATAAAAGGAAAAAAAAATCATACCACCAGGGAGGTTAAAAAACGAGCGTCGAACGCGCATTTCATTGAACAAAAAAACGTGCTAAAAACGTGCATAAAACGCGCCTATTAGGAACGCCCAGGTGTGAACCCAGTCTTAGTGTAGTCTGAAACTAAGTTGGTAAGACTTTCCTAAATAAATAAAAACAACGTTATAGTGTATCAAAATCGAAATTTGCCATAATATTGTATGTTTGAGCTTCTAACACTAAGGATGGGTACCAAAGCGCCCCCCCTTTTTTAATATGTGCTTCGTTACAGAATTCCAATATATACTTGTAATACAGTGGACTGTGTTTGACAGTTAGTGTAAGTAAAAACAAGGAATACTATTAAGAGATTACTTTACACTAGAGGTTGAGAGTTGCAGATTAAGGTTTCCCTTAGCATAAAATTGGAGATTGGGTCATCAACCCATTGGACAATGGGGAGTTGGGAACCACAACACTGTGGTGTGAAGTGACCTTATTGAAAACAAGGCTTTTTGCCTTGCCTATGCATCAGGATTGTGCTGCGCAAGGCTGCCAATGCATCCCTAATCCATCTGGTGTAAATGAGCCCTGAAGCTACTAGAGAACTACATACGATCAAAAAAACACAAACAACGTTTTAAAACCTAGAAGATGAGCATTCACATGTTTGTCTGCAATTTTAAATAGTAACATTTTCAAATCACTAGAAGAATAGTCTCTCAACCTGTAATGTTTACAAATATTGAACAGTGTACTTCCTGTATACTCAATGATTTTAACTATATTTTAAGGAAATTCATACCAGTTACTGTCACATTACGTCCTATATATCATAATCATAATTTCTAATATATGGACAAAGGGTAATCAGTCAGAGATTAAAATAGGACTAAAATAGGACTAAAATCTCATATTTACATAATGATCTAATTCCACAGGTTTTTGCCAGTCTTTTTTGATAATGTAGCTTTCATTAGATTAATACCTGGTGATCCTTCCATAAAAGTCCTTGTTCAGGCACTTCCAATTATGAGGTGATGACTGTTGTGCTCCTGCTTGCCCCCCTACCATGGGTGCCCTTGTTGGTGACTACAAGCAGCCATGCCTACACAATCAGCACAGGTATGGTCCACTGTTGTATCATGAAGCCAGTCCTAAGCAATGCTTTCCTGCCCGACACTGGTGTGAATGAATGTAGACAGGAAGTGGCTGAAGGCAGTGGCGTCACAAGGGGGGTGCAGGCCGCACCCGGGTGACACCAAAATGACTAACCCCCTCTAAAAAGTCGAGGCACTCTTACAGGGACCGAGAGCCCAACAGTGTCAGGAGAGGGTTGGGGACCCGGCGGCATACCTCATCCCACCGGGTGAACATCCACTCCTTTATCTTACGGCGTCCATCACCAAAATGGCCGCCAGCAGGCGTCAATTAGATGACCGGGCATGCACGATGACGTCACCAGGTCTCTGTTCCGAGTGACACCCGACCTTGGGACGCCCATGGCTGAAGGATATTGGCAGCACTGAGATGCACAAAAGAATGAGAAAAAATGAAAACAGTATTTTCTAAACAAAAATAAAATCCATGGCAATTGTTGATGATATACAATGCCTCAGGGCTTGTTCACACCAGCCAGCAGTGTAGAATGCACGGCTGCATGTATGTGCTGGGAGAAACTGTGCTGATGTGTCCATCCCAGCCCATTGCTACCTTTTTTTGGAAGAACTTTATTGAAATGTCACAAGTGACATTTCATTCGCCACTGTGGCATTGCGATTGTTTGCCCTGCATGTAGTCCTTTTTTTTGGTGCGCATCACCACAACACTGTACTGTGAACTGGCCTCTTAAAAACACAGCTTTCTGACTTGTCCATGTATTGGAACTCTGCTGGGCAAGGCTGGCAGTGCAGTCCCAATGCATCTGGTGTGAGCAAGCCCACAGCCAACTAAATGTCATCCAGTTAGTCTGTATATCTACTTTAATGAGACATAAAGAAAATAATCAGAATTTAATATGCCAGTTCTAGGTATGAAGAGAGCAAATTGCATATTATAATTAAGGTATATGTGAAACAAACTTCAACTGTACATTGTGAGCTATAGTTTTTTTTCTTTTTTCCGTAAATGCTTGGCTATCAAATAGGGTTGCCACCTGTCCGGTTTTCAACCGGACAGTACGGTTTTGGCATCTTGTGTCCGGTTTTATGGCCACCGTAGCCCCGGACACAAGATGTCACAAGTTCAGGCAGACAGGGGCAGCCACTGGGTCCTAGAGAGGAATGCGTGAAGGAGGACCTTCTGCTGTGCTGTGTGAGCACAATCCCGGCAGAGCGTGCGGCTGTCTGTGAGGCTAGAGGTACGTGTTTTAAGGGGTTAATCCGGGCCGGTACTAGTGTGTTATACAGACAGTGCCCGATAGTCTCTGAACTGTCACAGCACTGTCTCCTGTCCCATTGGAGCTGCGGGGGGAGGGGAGGGGGGAGATAGTGAGTGTGTGTAATTCTTATGCTGATTTTAGCTATTGCTGTGAGAACCTGTAAAGAATAAGGTGACCAGATTCC